TTTCAGTTTTCAGAGTCCAAGTTGGTACAGAAATTTCTGGTATCATGACTTCTCTAATTCCTGTCTTCAAATCTTTAGATCAATAGAGGTACCTGTCCCAAGGGACAAAAAACCCCAACAACAACAACAACAACAACAAAAACTGCTGCATTTGAGGACTGTAACACCAACTTGGTCCATTTCAGTTTCCTGAAGTTGGTATAAAGTGAACTAATGAATAATTCAGACTGAACTGCACACGGCATTACTTCTGAAAGCCATCTCGCTTAACTTTTAAGTGTAAAACTTCACACACTACCGTATATCTGTTAAAGACATTATACTAAAAATAATTCCTACAATTCTTATTGAATTTTTCTCGCAATTGTAAAACAAAATGTTTATGAAGGTTGAGCCTTCATAAACAGCCCTTGTATTTACTTCTGCAGTGACAGAAAAATTGCTATTACTGCTAAGAAAATGTTTTATGCAAACCTTGAGGAAAACAATATTTATACAAAAGTCACTTCAAGATTAACTCTGATTAAGAAAAGCAAAGCACTGAAGTGTAGAGGAAACACAGAGCTGTAGCTTCTCAAGTCAAACTCCATTTGTTAAAAACAACTGTTTTTCATGCATCGCACCACAGAAAGCAACATAATGCATTTAAGCCAGAAACAAACGTGTGTGTATGTTTTTATACATTTGCATATACAACATGACAAAAGGCCTCCACCTCTTCTTGCAACTGTTGCATGGACAGTCCTAGCATGACATCATCTATCCTGGCTTTCACATTGCATCCTCAATTTATCCTGCATCACACAACCTTCTAAGTGTATACTACATATCACTTATTTCCTGTCTTCATAGACGGTTGTAACACCCAGACTGATGCAAACGACTGACAGTAACATGGAAGCATGTGGCCTTTTCCATTTGATGCTTTTGAGCTTTTATTTTTCATGTTTGAAAGCTTGACATTTGTTTTTTGCTCTCTGGGGAAACTGCTTCAAAACTGCACGAGCAGCAGCAAAAACGGTGTAAATCAGAAAAGCAACTAGTCAGCATGGTTGCAGAACTGTCTGTATCAGTTCCAATAATATCCAAGCCACAGCACACATACAGCACAATATCTATGACACCACTCTTCCCCTTTATGTGCCTGTGTTCGACTGACCTGAGAGTAGAAATTAGCCATAGTCGTGGTTTCTATGTCTTTCTTTCCAATTATTTCCATTTTCACCGGAGCCGACGGAAACTTGGTTGAGAAGTAGTCCAAAAAGTCCGGCAGGTACTTGGCTTCTCCGTGGACGATTCCCATGACATAACGAGCAGCCTGCAAAACAGTCAGCAGTTTTAATTTAGATCAAGATGATGGTTTAGGAAAAATATTTAAAATTACTAGTCTAAGAGTTTAAGTATAAATGAGGGATGCACCAATCCAATTCATTTGATCACAGATATGCTACAAATACCCAAAGTACTGATCTGATACCATTATGAAATTAATAATGTTGAGTCGTCACTATAGGAAAAGATTACAATTTATTCTTTTATGGTTAAAGGTATGGGAGTAGTTGGCAACCCCCTGGCAACTAAAAATCCTATAACAACCATTAAATGACTGAAAGTGGTATCAAGGAATACAGATTTTTCCCTAGCAACCAGTGACTGTCAGGAGATGACTGGTCTCTGAGCATGTGTGACGGTTTTAGGCAGCAAGTCTAAAATTACAAACTCACAAAAAAATAAATACATAAATTAATAAATCCAAGACTATATATTAACTGAACTGCTATTTATTAGTGAAATAACAGCTTTTCAGTCATGTGAAATCACTTGACAAAGTTCACAGTTTGTAGTCAAGTAAAAAACTTTTGCAATCAAAGAAGAGAAAAGCTGTAAACACACAAAAAAGTCAAGCTTCAACTCTCACTTTTCATTCACATTATGAAAACATCTGACTGAATCCTGCCTAACCCATCTGAATAGCAGATCAGTGCATCCCCCGTCTACATAACTTAAAGGGTAAAGAAAAACAGTGTTTTTAATGAAACATAGTCAGCAGCAGGTGCTACACTGCAGCTGCAAATAACACTGCACTGAACTCAACATTCAAAGATCAATCTGATCAATACACATGCTGCACCTGGGACGCGTCCTCACTGAACACCAACGTGACAAACTCCTGAGCAAACCTTTCCCTCTGGTCCACTGAGAGAGAGGAGAGCTGCGACGTGTAGGCGTGAGCCACTAAGGCGCCTCCGTTAGGCTGGTTTTCTACGTGAATGTACGAGGCAAACTCCAGATCCGCCATACCGGGATACGAGCATTGCGGTTGGTGTTTGGTTGGGGAGGAAAGAGGTGACGTGGTGGACGGCAACGGAGAGTTAAGTGAGTTGTGAAGAGAGTTCAGGTGAGATTTCGAAGGAGAGGAGGGCGGGAGATGGGAGCTTTTGTTGTTAGGTGGAGGATAAACAGGTAGAGGGGACTTAAATAAAGATAGGGAGGAGTCGTGTTTTATTTCAGAGGGGGAGGAAGACGAGGTGGGGGACGTGGAGGAGGGAGGGAGGAGAAGCAGGCCAGCACAGATGGTTTGGCAGGACCGGTGGTACATCTTCACGTGCTTGTGCTTCTCCCCTTCTTTGTGTTTCTTCTTCTTTTTCTTCTTCACTTTTTTGATTTGCAGCTCCTCTGAGTTGATCTTGGCTTTCTCTTTGTCATCTGGACAGAGCAACAGAAAGAGAGAGAGAAAGAGAAAGAGAGAGGGGAGAAAGGAACTATTGAAGGATTTTTGTGAAATACCACAAAATAAGAAGAAATCCAGCTCTGAAGAGGCTTTCATGACAGATTTGTTAGAATCCATCATGTGTTATTTGATGCACGGTGGATCAACAAACTCTCCCAGCTCCCTGCTGTGAGAATAGATTTCTCCAAAGTCCTTCTAGAAGCAAGTCTTGCAAGATAGCAGCAATCTTAAAATGCCAGGAGGCACGTTTATTGATGCATCATCTGAATTAACTTTAATTTCAGTTGTCACGGAGAAATAAATGCGCGAGTTATCAGTCAAACGTGATAAAACCCACATCAAAACTTGGCTGACTTTGCCCCAAAACCCCCTTCTCCTGAAGTTATACTTCTATTGCCATCTGCGCCGTTGCAGAGTCCTCCTATAGTTTTCTATCCAAGCTTTGAGTGCCGTGTGTCTCTTATGTCACTAAATCAGTGAAATCAGTCTTCTTGCAATAACTGCAGCTCTGAAAATGCAAGAAAAATAAAGTGAAGCGGTGGAAAAATGGAGGCTAGAAGGGGTGAGGTTTTGAAAACAGGTTAAAAAAGGAAGACAGTAAAATTAAAAGCTTTACTCAGATTTTTGTTATTATTTATTTTAAAGCGTCTAATAATAAACACATTCAGGTACACATTTAATGCCCTACAAACAAAACAACTGAGAATAACGAGTACTAACTGTTTTAAGCAGATGACTCACTGCAAGTTTTCCCCCAGTTGGCATATCTCCTGAGGTGTATGCATAAAATAAAGTGAAGAACATTGAAACTGAATCCCTTGAGAAAAGCAGATATGACTAAGCCAGAAAGCGCACTCTCCAGTGGCATATTTGCAAAGACATAATACCGTACATGGCAGTCCATCTCTTAGACGCCTCAGGCAGGACAACATGGAACATGCAAATTTATGCAAAGTGCTACTGTATCTGTTTGTCTATGTGTGTGTGTGTGTGTGTCAAAGCATGACAATTTGGATACATGTTGCTTTCTAGTTTCTGATTCCACAGTTAATAGTGTAAACACATGGACACGTATGCATTTACAGTAAATATATACGTGCACTTCAGTCATGATGACAGTGGTGCTGCTGCCTTCACCTCACTAATGCACATGCACAAATACACAGCTTTAGTCTAGTGTGTACCCCACACAAGTTCAATGCCACACAAGAAAGGAGGGAGACAGAAGAAAGCACAGTGGGGGTGGGGGTATTTGCAGTACAATAGCTGAGCTACTAATCCAAAAGCGCTTTAACCCATAGTCACCCTCCCCCAATTCCCTGTACACCCAAACAGACGTTTATTCCTTCAACCTCCATCAAATCACAGATGAAGCAAGTTCAACAAACCCAGGATCTCCTTCTGTGATCTGGCTTCACTTACCCCGATGTCAGGCTAAGCAGTCACACAAAGGCGGTTATCAACTGGATAACTGAACCCAGGATTTCCCAATCTAGCTACACATGAACGAGGCGGTTTGGCAGCGTGTGACCAATCACAAACATGGAGAGGCCAACCGGCAGCACAGCGGAATATTTTACGAAGACGACCAACCTATAACATTAAAACAAGTGTGAAGTGATTGCTGAAGGCAGCAAAGCTGCTGTTACCTAAACAGCAGTGTGATTGATAGAAAAAGCACTGTACAGTAAGTGTAGTACTACAAAGCTCTAGCTGAATGTGTGCACTCTAAAAGCTTTAGTCAACAAGACTTAAAGTGCTATGCCAGCTATGTAAGTTTACCAGTTTCACTGGTTCTATCTTTAATACGCCGGAGAATGTGACAGTTATGATCATGTCATAACACTGTATACAAGGTTACAGTAATATGAAACCATTTTAAAATTGCTTACAGCCAATAGCAAGAAAAAAAGCAATCTATATTAATGCTCTTTAGTGAGACACAAAAACGTCCAAGGTCAAAAGGTCCCAGAGATCATCCAGGAAATAGCCTATTATTTTCCAGAGAACTGATTGGTCAGTAGGTGGTGATTTTGTACCTTTCAGTCTTTTATCTGGAATATAGCCTGCTTTGAAGCACATTCAGTGTGCTTCATTGTTTATCGTACCAACGCTGAAAGTGTCTATTAATGAATAGAACCTATTTTTCTGAAAAATTAGAATATATACTTGATTTAAATAAATAAATAAATAAAATAAGGCCTTAAAAAATGAAAATCATAATAGACAAATGGAGTTGCTGCAACATGTTGCCACTTGAAAACATGTTTTTTCTGGTTTTAAATCTTCTCTGGATTATAAAACTCAATTCAATACTGTTTTATTTTTACAACAGTTGCCTCAAGGTCCTCTATATAGCAAGGAAAGAGCCTACAAATTTTACAAAGAAAAAAGCCCAACAATCAGATGATCACATTGGAGTAAACACTTGGCAACAACGGGAAGGAAAAAACTCCCTTTTACCAGGAAGAGCAACAAATATCTTGTTAAAGGAATACAGTTCACTGCTCTTCTATTTGCGATCTGTAAAGGGGAACAAGGATCTACACTTCTATTAGAAACCAATAAAAAACTGTTTCAACTGTATAATGTTTACTTGATGGTACAAACAGTTGATGGCCTAATTGTCTTTTGCTCATTTTATGTGTACCCTGATGAAGGCTACAGGCCAAACACATTGAAGAACAACTTTCTTGCTTTACCAAACTACAAGTGTTGTTCGACCTTCAACCCAGAAAGTTGGAAGCAGGTGAATTTATGCCATAAACATCTACTCTACACAACAGTCTATGTTACCAAGTCAGCCGCCTATTTTTACAAAGAACAAGTTATTGTGCTCCTTCTTTCTATTTGGCTTAAAACCAACATGCTCCCACTGGTGATGTTTTGGCTTAACAGCTAAATCCATGCTGTTAATTCTCAACAGCTGCTTATTGCAGTGCAGCCGGCACAATAGTTTAACTTGATCACCTTGAAGTGCCATTAATAGAAGAAAAACTGGCAAAACTGGTGCAAAACAACATGAAAATGGTGATGTAATTTCATCCAGCTGTGTTTAAAGAGGTACAATTAGTCAGCTGAAATTATTATAATCAGGTGATTGTGAAGTAAATGTGACAGGCTTATTATTACGTGCCAAACATTAAAAAAAAAAATCTTGTATCAGTCAGGCTTGTTGCATTCATTACTGTAGAAAATCACATTATATCTAGGGTAAAATACATTTTCCTGAAATAACCAATGAACTAAATTATTAGACTTTGATCTGCTAACTACCAGTTTTAATTATCCGTTATAATAGGTCTACTTGTTCAGCCATTGGCAGCTGCTCTAAAAAAAATTAAAATTGTTTAATTTTTGTTCACTCTGCTGATGACTTTTCCTGGGCAAAAACTGCAACTTCCCTTTTGTTTATACACAAACAAATGCATAGTTGGACCATTTGGCTGGATGGTCATGATCCCACTCAAATAAACACACACACAGACCCACTATCAAACAGCCTCACTGGCAGTAAAGCAGACTTACTGTCAGAATGGTCATTTGCTGCTTATTGATTTCCTATACACGTTTCCACTGGCTGCCCCTCTCTCTCTTGGTCGTCCTTTTCAATTGTAAACTTAACACTCTCTCACTGATTAAATTTCTAACTTTCACTCCCGGTCTCTCTGTCACTGTAATACCCTCTGATTAAATGCCACACTCACTATTACAGAAAACCTTCTCTCTGGTGGGGAGAGCCCTCGCCCCCCTGCCCCGCCTCAAAAATCTAATCGCAGGTTTCAGTGCGTCCCTTAAACAAGTGATTAAATAGCGGACTCTCTCACAGGACGGCTGCAGGATTAACACATGCCTCTTGCTCTCAGTCCAGTCTTTTCTTAACTCTACCCTCATAATGAGGGAATGAACCAGCATTACTAGGAAGTGTGGCCTTTTGACAGAAAATGGGAAGATTGAAATAGTGCACCAATTTATCCGTATGTAATTTCCATCTGCAGCCACTGGTCACGCTATGTGCCCAAAGCACAGCTAAGTCCTTGAAATGTCACAGCGGGGTCGTGACATACCATAACAAACTCCCCCAGAGCTCCCCAGCAAATCAAATCAATTGAAGTAAAATTGGCATGCACACGTGTCAATAAGTGGTTTGTGCGTATGAGCCTGTGTCACTCTTTATTTAAAAAGAAAAAAGAAAAAAAATAGAATGGGATGGGGTGGATCTTAAAAAGCAAAACATCCCTGTTGATAAACGGCTGAACTCAGATTACTCGCGCACAGTTAGGTGGAGATTATGATCACAGCGCTCTGCAAATAATTCACTACTGTCAAAAGGTTAACAATGAAAGTCGCCGCTGCACCGCATTGATAAGGTGTGCACGCGCACGCACACAGGTGAGCCTGACTTCATCGCCAGCAGGGTTGCATCAATAATGGATGCAGACAAGTGTTCAAAGAAAACCGCCATCTTAATGTATACAAAACTGAACAACAAAAGAAATGTGTTTAAGAGCAAAAATATATTTTTCTCATCATTCTAAGAAGATCTGTGACAAGAATATTTAAAAGTTTGATCTAGATAATCACCCATCAGTCACACTCTAATAAACAGGAAGTTAAAACCATGCCTGACAACAGAAACAAGCACAGAAAGGCAATTACATGAGAGAGTAACAAAGCTAAACATATTTAGGGTTTCAACTATTAATCATATTAAAATGAGTTGGGGGTTTTGTCAATTGTTTTAATTAACTTTAATATAAAAAGACAACCACTTTAAGTTTTCTATTTCTGGGACATGAAAACAGATTTTGAAGAGGGCCAATCACACTCAAGTTTTGCTTGAGCTGCTTATAATTTTTGCTTTGATCTTATACCAGGCCTGTGTGAGACCAATCAGTTCATCTACTGTCAGAAACTAACCATTTTGGCTCCCTTTCTTCCCCCTTTAAGCCATCTTTCTTTTTTATTGGCTGTCTATCCCAAACTGAAATTTATATTGGCTATATATAATAATGATAATAATTATAATAGATTACATTTATATAGCGCTTTTCTAGACGCTCAAAGCGCTATATATACATCAAAATATGTTTACAGGAGATGGGATTTAATATAATCTGGTATTTAGCTGTGCTGATGCATCTAATCAAACAACTGTGTGACATGCGTATAGTAACGAATAGGTCATACACTCGCCTTCGTGATCACCATCTAATCCTTTATGACCATCTCCCTGAAGATGATCATCTTCAGACCATCTGCTGCTCAACACAGAAGCTACCATTAATGTGCTGCTCTTATTTCTTTGGTGTTTGTATTTTTTTTTAATTCAATATAAAATAAGGTCAATACAGCATGTAAGCTGCTGGCTTTGGGAACGTGGAAAAGCATTACAAGTAGCGTGAACACAGTCAGGTAATTGCATATTAAAAAAACAACAACAACAACAATGACAAAGTGATTTTGGCCTTCCACCAAAGAACCAACATTTTTTTCAATATTTAATAAGGTTTAATCAAACTTGAGATACATTTTTGTTTATCAAATGGGTAGTTAACAGGAAAATGTATGCAAAACTACATGAGGACTTGTTGTGTTTACACACAGCCTTCCCCTCAAAGGCTCATTTAACCCAGGAAAAGCCCTGATCAATGACATTAAAAAAAAGAGAATTTTCAAACTGAAATTACAGTCAGGACCTTTATATGGAACAATATTTGGAGCATTTTTATTCTGTTTGGACTTTTAAAAACATCAGAATCACAAAAATAAGACTGCACATAAACAGAGCTACTGTAAAACATGTATTCTAATGGTCAAACATTAAACAAACACATCAGAAATACTTATTTAAACCAACCTGAGAACAAGAGCAGGCAGAAATAAACACCAATAAAGCTACAAAGATTATAAAAGACGGCGAACTAGCAGAGACAAAGGGAGCAAGAAATGGGAACAGGAGGGGATGACAGACTGTGACGACTCTCAGCTTCTCCTATTACAACCACTGCTGCCTTAATTCAATAAACCATAAGGGCTAAATAAACCATAGGCACCAACGCTACATGTGAGGAGCAGCAAAGTGCAAAGGTCAACCTAACACCAGGGATCAAGTTCTCAGTGAAAATAAAAGGTTGTAACTCTGGTCACACTTGAAGAGTTCAGCCATGACAGCTACAGTGCTAAACTGGAGCTTTTCTAGCACACTGATAGAATTCTTTTTTCTGTTTTTACCCTAACACCCACTGGGATGCTGAGCAGTTGTGTATGCAGCTTGTACATTGGAAACATAATGATGATTTACTGTACAGCGCACTGTGGAAGTGGGTCATGTTTGGTTACCTTAGCAGCAGATCTGAGCTCCACTTGTATATGGAAAAAACAGCATTTATGACTCAAAGCTATGCTACTGCAACATGTGCAATGTGTTTTATTTGCATGGTTTTTGTTTCAGTTATTGCACACAACACACTTACGTTTGTAGTTGTAGTTTACTTTTATTTTAGTAGTTATATTTTCTGCCAGCAGCAGCAAATTAAACGCTGATCCATTTTAATGTGCAACTTTCACTAATAATAGAAAGAATCATTTAATTCATCTCTATAAAAGTCACTTAGTATGCATGTGTGCACGTTTCCACCAACCTTTAATCGGCTGCTTGACTTCTCCATTCTCCCTCTTGATCTCATTCATCACTTTGTGCTTCTTCTTCTCCTTTTCTTTCTCTCGCTCTTTGACCTTCTTCTTCTCCCTCTCCTCTCGCTCCCTCTCCTTCGCCTTGTCCTTGGTGGAGTGATCTGTGGAAGCAGTGAGCAACGTTTCATGTCTCGATGGTGAAAGCACATTAGCATAAGATCTCAGATGTACCCCCACGCAAGCATGTACACAGATGTTTGAGGGCACTTTGCTCGCTCCGATTTGCTTCTCTAACAGCTCACCTGTTCTCTTGCCAAGCCCTTCACCTCTGCTATCACTCTTGACTTTTAATTTTGTTGATCTTTCCTCTACAAATGTTTTTTTCCCTACTGCTAAAGGGGGAAAAAATCATCCCATCACCAAACCCATACTTTTATCTAAGCCCTGCAATGACCTTCCCTTTGAGAATGCAGCAGCCGCTCTGCAACTTCACTCAAAACAGCACAGTTTCATCAAGACACACCTCATACCCAAAAAACGTAACCCTCTACTATCATTAATATGTTCCCATTTAATTTTAAAAGTCCTAAAATCCTCTCTTTGCTTTTCAGCTTATTTTCTTTTCCTTTTCTTGCACGTCTCCATCTGTGTGTTGAGCAAGTGTAGCACATTGAGGAATTGGAGTGCGCTCTAATGCAACGCTCGGTGCAAATCGCTGCGGATGAGAGCATCAGTTTTAAAATGTCAGTATCACATGCACACACCTTTTCAGCTGGATTGTTGGAGAGCTTTCGGAAAGGTGTGTTTAAGTGTGAGGCACCCCAGCAAACAGACATTTATTCTTTAAATCTGCACGTCTCCCCTCCAGCTGAGCTAAAAACCCTTACCCATCTTCAAATAACACTCGTTTTATACATTTTTGTATTCCTTGATTTGCTTTATATTTTTTCATTTCCTCATGAAAAAAAATTCTTTTTTTTTTTCCTTGTTTTTTTTTTTTCCTTTCTTTCTTTTCTTTCCAGGGGACTTTTTTCCCCCCCTTTGAACTCAGTCGGATCCATCTTTGAAAGGAAGCCGTGTTTTCAGACTGTTCACTCTTCTGTGGATGTAGGGAGTGGGAAAGTGAACACAGTGTGGTTGCACTCCCTGTTTGTGGGATCAAAGGAGAAAAAAAGCTTTCAAAGTAAAAAGGCTTATAGGAGCATTAGGAGCATTAGATGTACATTGATACATTTTTCCATCATAGTACTTAAATACATTTCAGCAGACTGTTTTGCTTTTGCTACTTAAGACGCAGGTGATCGTGCTCCTCATAGCCTGTGGTGAATAGTGGAATGCCAAGGATGTCAACGTTTCCTATGCAAAAGAAATGCTGCTAAATTACTAGACAGTGTAAGCTGCCTAGTGGGAAAAAAAAAACAGCACATCTCAAAACGACAATTTAGCTGCACAGGAAACAGCCTACAAAGGAGCGCTCACTCAGATCTGTTGCCAGATTTATAAAAACATGTAAGGCCATGCCAGAGCAGTAACATTCATAAGCCTTAACTTTAGAGGAAATGGCAGTAAATTAGTCCAGGTGGCTGATGTGAACTGAAAATATACAGTGAAGCATGTTGATTTCTCTCGCCTCGAGAGAAGGGGCTTTCCCGTGAAATAAAGAAAGGAACAGGGTGAAACCAGGGTTTTAACTGACGACACGATCTGAGAAAAGATGTCAAGGCTTCGATGGTCACAAGTTCTAAAGCTAAGTTCATATTTTCAGGGCAAAACAGCACAAAACTAGAGATCTAAATGAATTTGAAATGAACGGTATCCACGTGACTGAAGCATGTTTTCTTCCCCCTCTTCATTCCGTTTGCTGATTTTCTAGCAGCAGCCAGTTTGGAAGGGAAACACAGCAGGTAGTTTTCACGCTTTGGATGATCACAGGAGAGATAAGACTTTGAAAGACAGAGAGCCAGAGGCCGGCCGTTATTAAACTTCAACGACGCAACCAGTCATTTAAATCTCATTTCTTCTTATCAAGAAAAAATACGCCAAAATAAAAATTATCAGAAAAAATAAAAAATATGTGCATTCTGACATTTTAAATTTGTTACATTTCAAAGGGAAACCCAGATCCCTCCAATTGTCTGCCATTAAAAATTAAGTAGCAATAACAGAGCATAATTTATAGTTTCAACAGCAAAAGTGCACCAGCTTAATGCCCATATTTACCCGTTAGCTGCTAATTCACATGATAAAAAAGTGTATTTTGGGTAAACTTTAAACAGTCATATCACCATTAGCGATAGGTGGCTTATTATGTTAAAGGTCTGCTTTATACTGCCATTATGATACCAGGCTTATCCTCTAGCCAAAGTTTCTCTTGTGGCAAAATGTTTTTCGAATACAGGCCAAAGTTTCATTTGAGGTTCTATTTACTTGGGAAAGGTGTCACAGTGGTCCAGTGGTAAGTAATGTCACTTCACAGCAAGAAGGTTCCACCCAGCTGCAGACTTTCCATGCAAGCATGTTTTTTGCTCATTTGTCGGCTCGTCTCCCTGTGCCTGTGTGGGCTCTCTAAGGATACCCCAGCTTCCTTTCACAGTCCAAAGACATGCTTGTTAGGTTAACTGGCGATTCTGGGATTGGATATCAATGTAACAGTGAGGCTGCGTCCACACAAGAAACTATCGGCAGCAACCTGGCAACCTCAAGAAGTCAATGACTTCAACAACATATGGGAGGGGAAAAAAAGAAAAAGAAAAAAAGAAGATCATTCTAGATATAAAACTTTTCTCAACAGAAACTACCAGTGAGACTGCAGGATACTGCTGATTGACATATTACATGGTAGTAAATACATTAGAGGCTTACCTAGGCAACGAGTGGCCATTGCCCAAGGATACGCTACCATTGGTGTCACTATCTAAAGCCTGGAATGTCTACATATCTACCAGCCGTTAACTTAGAGGGATGGGCTTCTTCTTCATCTGTTCATTGTGCTTTTTTCTTTGTTGGGGGGATGGGGGGATGGGGGGGGGTGTAATTAACAGGACCATGCAAATCTTGTTTTTTCTGGAAGAATCTGAGGCCTTCAAAGATTAGACACACTGAGCTCTCCACTGTGAACAACACAGTTTGAGCAGAATTTTCATGTGAAAATGTGCTGGATACTTGCAAGCTCACATTTTCAGCAGTAAACATGCTCTCTGTGACATACTGAGCATAACAGGAAGAAGAAAGAAACTTGCCCAAGGCCAAGCATGTGTGCATATTTTAAGGAGAAAAAAAATCAAAATGCAAAACACTGTAACAGGGAGCTCAGCGTTTTATCAGTTTCCCATCAGTATATACCTGTACTGCAACTGCAAATACGGTTGCAGTACATGTTAAAATGAAGGCGATTTTAATAGAAAAATACATGATATGTGTGAAACTAGCTGTTAAATCTAAGCATGATCAAAAAACGTTAAAGAAAAAAAAAATCACTGCAGGGCTGCAGGTACACTCGTCTCTTAGGAAAATCCTGCTACTCCAGATGGTCAGTCCACCCCTGCTGGTGTGGCAAATCCATGCTTCACCAACCAAAATGATTTAGCAATAGGACTCATACAGTGTTTGTCATTGTATTGGCAATACACACGCTGTGCTAAGGATCTTGCCATTTTTTTCAGAGGGAAAAAAAAACAGCCAAGAGAAACTTAATTGGGCGATGATGGTAGTTAAGCTTCATTTTCTCCTCAGTGTAATTCAGATGTGCAGCTCCAGACATATTTGGTGGTTCTTTAAGCATGGTAAATTTACATCCACACAATAAACTAATTATGGGCTTTTAACAGTAGATAGAAATGCAGAGAAGTCAAAGCTACAACACAAAACAACCGTAACACTTGCCAAAAACAGAACTGGTTACATGAATTTTAATCTCTGCATTATGCAGCACAAGTATCTGAATGGGCATAATATTAGGCTTTTGCACAAACAGATAAACTTAAGGACTTGATAATATTCTTGCTTCTGCATATTAAAATGGAAACAGACCGGAATTATGCTTTTAAGATCACTATAAAATTGCAAAAGGTAATGACGAATTAATATCTAGAGAATCTGCTCTCAGATTTGTTGACTGTAAGCATTGATGGTCTAAAGCTCCCACTAAATGAAGCTTCAATTATTCAATCAATAGAAAGAGGACAGCACTTTTGCTTTTTCTGTTAACAATGGTTATTAACAAAGGCAAGTTTGGAAACTCTAGCTGGTGAAAAAACAAACAAACTAGTAAACAGCAACGACATGATCTGAGATCAGCAGCAAGCAAATCCTGTCTGGCTATAAGCCCAATAAAACCAAGGTAAAACATCAGCTACTGCTACTTAAGGGAGGCTCGCTGACAAATCGTGGCCGGTGGTAACATTTTGTACAGCACTACAGTCAACTTCATTTATCAACAGTTCATGTCATCCTGTGATATAGCAGTGCAGAACAAGAATTTCAATTAAGTTAGTGGCAGGCAATGTACTCGATGATTAAATAACATACAAGTACCAGCTAATATACCTACTATAGCTTCTCAAAGGCTTCTTAATGTACAGTTTGTTTGGCTGCAAATACCACCTGGCATACAGTGCTGGAAAGATGAAACCTTTCAACTTCTTATCCTCGTTGCTTGTGGTATTAATTATGTGACACAACAATTAATGAAAGTAACTCTCTATAGTAGGTCTTGGAACTGAGCAGAGAGACTGAGAATGAAGAGAAAAGACTGGAAGCACATCTGAAGAGGAGAGCTACGTCTGCTGTTTGGAGGTTTTTAAAAATAAAAATTGGTATTGACGTCATTTTTGTGCAACCTTTTCTTTGTATACTGGAATGCTTTCATTGGAACTTGGTCATGAAAACTCTGAGAACCTCTGATTATGGCTAAATGTATTCGACAAACTGCATTTGCAATATCAAACTGACACAAGGTCAAACTTGATTTGCAACTAGCTCGACTTCCTAATTATACCTACAGCTTAAAAATTCCCTTTTCTTGGTCTACTGCTCACTGCACTTTGTCTGACTCATGTATCCTATTTCAGATTTCAAATGCAACTGGCAGTCACAGCTCCCTGGCACTTGCTTTTGCCACTAATAATATTACCATGATGATGTGATACCCTTTGGATCCCTGTAGGAAAGATTCTTTCCTTGCAGGAAGGTCAGAGCATAAATTGGCCTCAAATACATGTCCTTCCGCAGAACAGCAATCTTGTCAATTTCCTCATTTTGTTTAGAATTAATGTACATTTTGAGCTCCACATTCACATTCACACACTTCCTCATCTTCTACTTAATATAATTACAGTCTCCTACTGCTGGCCATTGAGCAACTCACTAAAGCAATTAGAGGTTCAGTGCTTTACTGAAGAGCACCTCAGTGAAACTGTTGCAGGAGCGGTTTTAGTTATCACTACTAAAGGCTGCATCTATATTTAGCTAGTCAGGTCCAGAAATGAAAATCATAAGCTGCACTAAGGGACTTTAAGTGGTATAACTGCCTAATGGAAAATATTCATTACAGAGTTTGGGGTGAAAATGACACATTATCTGCAAAGCAAATCATGTGATGTTTTGTGGGTAATCGTTAAAGCCACATCTATGTGTTTTAAATAAAACGCTGCCACCAGCCACATATTTACATGAACATATTAAAGTTGCACTCAGCGCAGCCTGTTTACAAGACTGCGTGTCTCAAAGTGTTTAGGGCTACAGGCCAACAACACGTTTCCTTCTGGTTCTCTAATTGTTTGCGGTATTTGTTCAGAGTATGTCATGATCTCTTAGACTACCCAACTGGAAAAGGGTGACATCATGCAATCACATGTGCCCACCCTTGCTAGTGTCTAAACATTTAACAAGTGAAAACATGTCCACACATTGGCAAGCACAAATGTGCATATGCATGGGTTTTGGCACGCTGCTTTGGTGTGACAAAAGGACGCTGATAATAAGTATTTGCATCCTTACTGACTTCTTGGTGTTTTTTGCATATTTGTCAAACTTATGTTTGAGATCATCAAACTAATTTTAAATGTTAGACAATGATAACCTGAGAAAATACAAAATTACGTTTTTTAATAATTCCACTGATTAGAGGAAACCAACAACAATAAAAAAACAACAACAATCAAACACAAAAAAATGCCCAAAAAGCTAACAACGCTCCAAACCTACCCGTGGAAGAAAATAATGCCTTGTGAACTTAATAACGGGTTATGTCACCGCTGCAGCAAGAACTGCGATCAAGTATTTACAATAACCAGCAATGAGTGTTTTACATCGCTTTGGGGAAATTTTGGCTCACTCTTTGCAGAATTTTTTTTAAAATTCAGCCACAATGGAGGGTTTTTTTTTTTTTTTTTTTTTTTTTTTTTTTTTTTTTTTTTTTTTTTTTACCATGAACGACCTGTTTAAGGTCATTCCAAAGATTCTTAAACTGATTTTCTTTACAACTGAATGAGCTTATCACCGATCAATTATGGGATGTCACCCAGGTCCTGAAGCAACAAAGCAGCTCCAGACCATCACCATCATTTAAGTGATTTCTTGTTTTCAAAGCTCTGGAAGTGATCGAGCCTGCTTTTAATTATGATTTAACAAGGAGGGGCAGTTACTTTTTCACATGGGGCCAGGTAGATTTAGAAAGCTATTCTCCTTTAATACCATCATTTAAAAATCTGTTTTTGTATTTACTCAGGTTAACTTTGTGTAAAATCAAATGTGTGTGCTGAACCGAAACAGTAAGTGTGACAAATGTGCAAAAAATAAAAGAGAAATCAGGAAAGGGGCAAATACTTTCACAGCACCATGCACCATTTTAAAGGACGCAATCGAGAAAATAAGACTATTTATCCCCCTCTCCCACCCAACCATCTAAATGGCATTTAACAAGTCCAGTGGCCACGCTCAAAACAAAATATTCTCATTAAAGTCCAAGTGTAATTACAACATTGTAGCAATAAAGATGTCTGTGTAGAAATTAATGCTTTGGGGGTGTGAAGGTTGAATTTCTGCATGCACAACTGTAGATGATGCAGTATCAACAAGCCACGGAGCTCTGTGTCTGTTTCCCCTTACAGCCTGGGGTTACAGAGGGGGGCGTGGTGCTCTACCAAAACAACACTTACCCTATAATGGCGGGCGGTTTTTATATTGTTATGACAGCACACATGTAACGCCAGCACATACACAGCTCCCAAGGAAAATAAATACTTGCACGCGCAGGGATGTCATTGATTAACGAGTCTCAACCATAACGCTGGTGTGACAAATTACAGCTCGTTTTTATAAACGTTTTTAAGATGCCGTTATTTATTTATTTGTTTATCTTTTAACTGTACTGGGTTAGTAGCTAACGTATATAAACAAGGGTGGATATGTTTAGTCAATGCGACGTTAATATGTTTAAAAAAATTACCGCAGGACGAGCGCGGCTGGTTGCGATAACGGCCAGGTCGCGCGACTATACTGCTCTGGAACGCGGCTCCAGTAGAGCTCGAGGGTTCACAAGCGGGTGAACAAGCGACGGAAAGCTGGCAGCCATACTCCGCAGAGACTCCATCGATTAAAACTGCTGCGCTTTCACACGCTCCAAACTCGACGCGAACACGTTCCCGAGCGACCAAATATCAATTAATGCAACGCTCGAGGATTTTTTTCGGGCATCTTGCACGACGTTAAGGGGCGCCCTTTTCAACAGCAGCCATTCCGAAAAACGGGACCGTTTACAGGCAGATGAGAAAGCAGAGAAACTGTACACTCCGGGGCACATGTTCGTATCCCGAGCGGCTAGCCAAGTCACTATAAAAGGGCAGAACTCTAGCCTGCTTATAATAAACACAAAGTTTATTAATGCCACTAACTAACTCATAAAATAGATGAAAACATAATGGCTTACCTTTTGGTGGCAACGTGACATCTCCATTTTCTTTCTTCGCTGCAGAAATGTTATTAAATTTACCGACGTCGTTATTAACAGTAGTCCCAGATCCGGAGGTCAACAACAGTTTATGTTTCTTTTTCTCCTCTCCGCCTCCTTTCCCCTTTTCCCTCTCTTTCTCTCGCTGTTTATCCTTACTTAGTTTCTTGGATTTGGAGGAAGAAGGTGCCTTATGGAGGAAGAAATCGCTCTGTTTAAAGACTTTGTGATGGGTTATCGGTGTCTGGGACCCACCAGTAGCACCCACCGAAGACGGGTTGTTGTTGCTGCTGCTGGTGGCCGTCTTAACCGGACTACAGCTCCACAAGCCCGAGCTGTTCCCATAACTCTGCAGCTTCGTGTGCTGCTGGAGTTTCTCTTTACCGCTACCGTTGCCTCCCACTCCTCCGTCCCTGTTGAGTTTCTTGGGTTTAACGCTCCTCTCTTCGACTCGGACCTTCTTGGGCGGCGGCGGCTGGTTGAAATCACGAGAAGACTGGGAGTGGTTGTCAAGGGTTCCTTTCGCCTCGGTCGGCTTGCCGAGCGCGCTTTGAACGGAGGTTACAGTAGGAGTAGTAGCAAGAGAGGCAGCTCCAGAGAGGTGAATACTGCCCTGCGAGTCAGCCATCTTGAGGCTTCTCTCTCTATTTACTCTCTTCCCCCAACGGCAGCCGATGCTGCTTTTTTTCCGCGACGTTCAGACAGGCGATGAAGGGGCGGGGCCGAACTTGAATTGACAGCCAGGCAGCGAGGAGGCGGGACTCAGGCTCGACTGACATGTAGCGAGGGAAAAAATAGAGGCGGGGCTTAAGTATATGTCCTTAGCAGCATGTGTTTTATTTTACGTACGACCTATGGTATTTTGTGTTTATGAAACAAGGAAAGGTGTAGATTTTAACTATAAGGAGCCAAATATTTCTAAAGCTCAACAACTTTTTGAGTACTGAAATGCAGCCATTAGATTTTTAAGATTAAATTTAAATCATATGCCAACTTTCATTGCTCCAAATCGCAACAAAGTTATATTTTAAAGGTAGAGATCCTACAGCATTATGGACCAAAACCATACAATCCAACAGTTTTCTCTTGCATAATATTTGGGGACAGTCCCAAAGCAAAACTTACAAATACGTTCAAATAACAGGTATGTTTGCATGCTTAATGTCTGTGGCTGACCTGATCATTTGAACACCACGCTAAACCTCAGGTATGAGGGTGCTTTAAACTGTGGACCTTGTTTCTGCTAATAAAAAACAAACAAACAAAAAGAATCAGTAATAAAAAAAAAACAACTCGCCATCCCTAAGTAAAAATGTAATTTTCAGTGATATTAAATCACTTTGAAGTTTTCAGACATGTCATTAAAAAGACTGCATTAATCCAACATCTTAAAAGGTCCTGCACAGACTTCACTGTAGTCTATGTGCTTATATTTTGGCAGAATGGTCATAAGCTGACTGGCAGAACTTGTGGGGAAGTGTACAGTAAGTGTTGACAGTGTAGGACTGCACATGCGACTGCTCCCATTAAAGAGATAAATATGCCCTCTTTAATCTTTACAACTGAATGAGCTTATCACTCTCCCTCGCACAACACATCATTAGACCGTGTCATGAATCCTCTGGCGTTGTTTACACTTTGATTTACTGAGATGAAAACATTTTCTTCAATCAGACTGGCAGAGTTCTCAGTACAAGGCCTGTCAGCGTGTGACAATCAACCATGAATAGCAAACATGATTAGCAGCTGCACGAGGGGAATTGTAAAGTTACAGCTGGTTATAAATATTGTGACAAGATTATTGCATGATGCAAGTCACGAGCAGAGATTTGATGTCTGTGCATGCAGTGACAGAAGAGATGTGTGTAAGCATGTACTGAGTCCAGCATCGACTTTATGTGACTCATATAGCTACAGTAAATCTGTATTTTAATATTACAGGCTTTAAAAGAGAGCTGACACAGTTTCTTCTGTGCAGCCTGCTGCTCACATATCCAACACTGACTGGCTATATTTATAAGCCATTACATAACATGTTAAACTGCTCATTGGGAAAACTGAGGTGACCCAGTTAAGACAGCAACCTGGCTTAATATTAATACTCAGAGAAACAGAGAGAGAAAGAAGGGTGCATGGTGCATTCATACTGTGTTAGTGTGCAGCCGAGGGGAAAACTTTGCACAGATAATCAGGTGGTAGTAGAAAGTGTGCATCAAGTACACTTTCTACTACCACCAGGTAACATCCTCATGCATGAGCTATACTCATCAGCCACTTTATTGGATACACTTTGTATCAGGTTGGACTCCTTTTGACCTCCAGTACTGCCTTCATTGCATAGATTCAACAAGTTTCTTGAAACGATCCTCTGAGATTTTAGTCCACATTGATGTTGCTGCATATTTGTCATATGCACATCCATGATGTGAATCTCTGGTTTCATCAAATCCTAAAGATGCTCTACTGGGTTGAAATCTGGTCACTGTGGAGGCCATTTCACTCCAGAGATGTTTCGAGGTTTGTGACATGATGTGTTAACCTGCTGGAAGAAGGATGGCTACACTGTGGTTATAAAGGGATGGATGTGGTTAAAGGATGCTCCATTGACACTAAAGGGCTACAATTGAACCCCCACCACCATTCTGAAGTGATGGCAGGATGGATCCATGAGTTTCTGTTGTTTATTCAAAACTCTGCCTGAACAACTCGAATGCTGTATTTGTTACCTGTCACCTTTAAAGGTGGTCATCCAAGTAGAAGCTCCAGAGGTCCAGATGCCTTCACACAAGCTCTCAAGACTACCATGACCTGAATTACTGAATCTATATGGACTTCTACATATTTTGGTTGTAATGAGTGGTTATTTGAGCTGGTGTTGCCTTCCCAGCAGTGCATTGAGTTACTGCCATGTAACTGGTTGATTAGATATGCATTAACAAGCAGATGTACAGGTATAAAAGCAGCTGGTGAGTATCACACAGCTACAAGGGTTTCATGTACTGCATGTGGATCAATGTAAAGTGTTTTTAACCCTAACCCAGGATGACTGGAAAAACCCATCAGTGCCTGAACCACGGAAGTTGTACCGTCCATGATTGCATAATTAATTTGAAATGAGCATTGACTACCTGTGAGCACCAGCGAATAATTATAGTACGAGTGCCCTCCTGCTGTGCTTCTCTGTGTGTAAAGTGAATACAAATGCAAAGCCCTCAAGGTCTCTGAGAAAGCCAGTGTGTTTATGACCCCTGCTGTGATTAATTGTCATATTAGTCTGTGTGCGTGCTTGAGTGAATACAGTCGTCTCGGCAGCTCCACAAGGTGTGTGAGCATTTCCTGCTGTGACAGCGTACACACAGACACGCAAAACTCACACTGACTGAAAGTTCACGAGTCAGTCACGTCTGAAAACATCAGATTACAAGTCAGCAGGCGACTAAGTCAAAGTGACGCATTAGCCATTTGACTGGTCTATAGTATAAAATAATGCTTCCTGCTGGGACGCACACATTCAAACTCACAATTATTCAGGAATATTTACAGGAATGAAGGCGAAAGAGGCACATCTTTACTTAAGGTCATTTTTACTGATTGATTTCTGCAACATACAAACGTGTGTGTGTGACAGGATGGGGCTGAGGGGGCGTGGCTGAATGAGAGTCCCACAGGAGGCAATGAGCAAGCAGCAGCGAATCACATCGCTTATGGTCATGCCGCTAATGATGATTGGAGGGCAGAGGGAAAGGGTGAGTGCGGGCAGGCGGGCTCTCTCTTAAAGGCACAGGTGGGCTCTTTACTGAGATCGAGGCGTGTGCATGAGTGTGTGTGTGGAGTGGAAGTGAGGATAACGAATTATAAGAGAATCAATAAAGTTAAAGACAGCCTCTTCTGTTGTGCGTGGGCATACAGATGTGTTGGAAATGACAGCCTTTCTCAACCAAAAAAAATGGGAAAAGGCAGAAAGAAGGGCAGGAGTGGGTGAAGATTAAAGAAGCAAAAACAAAATGGGAAGTAAGTAGGAAACAACAGATGCTCCTTGTAGAGAACAGGACATTCATCTCAGTTGCGCGTTTCAAAAAAAAGTTCAAAAAGAATAAGAAATGATGGAGAGGAGAGTGAGTGAGAAACGTTGATGATTGGGTGGGGAGGGGGGGGCAGTGGACTTGTGTCACAACAAACAACTGCATATACAAAAATAACTTTTCAAATACCATTTACAAAAACAAACAACCAATATTATCATCATTATTAATATTATTACAATCTTGTTCAGAGCCCGTTGTAGTTATCTCAAAGAGGGCTGGGCTGGCAACCTCTGCTTTTCCTCTGCCAACCAATTAAAACTTTGTTTTTAAATCTAAGCATATAATTCAAAAAAACAAAAACAAAGAAAAAACAAACAAACCCCTGAAATATTTGCCAAAAGCAAAAACAAGAGGGTAGCAGAATAATTTACAGTTTAAAGAAAAACATTGTGTAGAGGGAGGATTCATCATCATGCACTGATTTTCTTACATCTTCTGTTAATAGGAACATTTAGGAGATAGAAAAAAAGGAAATCTGAAGTATTTTATACCTAAACTGTCCTGTACAGCTCTTTATAAAACAATGCATATACTGTATAGTTATGGCAGCTAATGAAAGAGAACAAAAAAAGAAGAAAGAAAAAAAAAAAGGAGTAAACAGTAGTAGTCCTGGGTCCCTGGCTGCTGTTGTCCTATTGGATCATTGTCTCAGAAGCAGTTAAAGAACAACACGCCGTCAGATGAGAAACCAAACAAGTGTGACTTGTAGAGAAGGCTTGGAGGTTTAATTTCAATCTGTCGAGTCAAAGGTTCAAGCGTTTCAGGTGATGTGTAACATTCAGACTCCGAAACACCGAGGTTTGTCGTGAGCAAACTGGCAGCTGAAAGGAAAGAAACTTTCATGGTCGATCAGCTGAGGTTTGGCAGAAGGAAAGAAACCCGACAGAAGAACAGCAAATAAACGGAAGAAATACGAGTCCCGAGCAGACGAGCCAGAAACACAGAAAGAAGAAAAGAGCAAATAAAGGAGGGCTGTCATCAGCTGTCTTCTCTGAAAGGTGGACTAAGGCAGGCTCATGGTCCCAGTTGTGAGAGTCAGAGTCACAGAGCTAACAAGTTTGGCTTTTTCTGTGTTTAATGTCATTTTATCTCAAACGTGGGTAGCTTAGAAAAAAAATTCTCCAATTTATTAATTTAAGGTGGAACTGTACTCTTTGGTTCAGCTGCTTGGAGCTCACACATATATACTACACTTTACACAAATTCATTGGCTTTAATCTTACCGTTTTTGCTTTCAGACTATAGACTGTATATAGAAGATGTAACCACCATCTGTTTTTGATTTCCGTTTTTAAAACCTCAACTTTTCTTTTTCTTTTTTTTTTGACAGGTCATATGATCCGTAAGTGCTTAGTAATAGATTAATAAAATGCTAGAATTTCACTCACTGACACTGAAGCACAAACTTCTTTGATGTCTGTGCAACAAGTCAGATACAAAAATGCCCCCATAATTCACCAGCATCACAAAAATGCTTCCTGTTTGGGTACACCTGTCAATCAAAACAACGGCCCCCCCCCCCGGTTTTAGGCTTCCCCGTTCCCCTTTTGATTAGTTATTTTAAAAATCCCCCCACCATATTCTTTATATAAAGGGGCAAATAAGCTATAGAGCCCAAAAAAGGCTGGAAATTCAGAGATTTTAATATGGGACTATGGACTCTATGAAGCCTCAAGTGGCCACTACAGAAACTGCAGTTTTTGCTAGTTCGTTCTCTCTCTCTCTTTTTTTTTAAAGCTCAGTTAGTTGCCACTGAGACATTGACACAACTATTACTGCCAGCTGCCATAAAATCACCAGCTGCACTTTAATGAACACCACAATGGCCAAACTTTGTTAACCTGTCACTCTGGTGGAGAAGCATGGACGTGTAAAATAGCAGAGCTAACAACAGCAGTGAGAAACGGGTAACAGTGAGCTCTGGCGCTTTTGTTTCCGTGACGATCCTTTGTAATGTAGCACCAGCACTTTGAAACAGGGAGAGAAAGACAAAGAGAGAGCACCCTGGCAACCTGTGCATACCCAACAGAAATGGGTAACAGATTATCTAAGTTCGCTTTCAAGATTGTTGTTCGTTCAGTAGGAGGCAACAGACAACTTCTGGGAGTTCAGCCTCCCACAGTAGTTTTTCTAATTTAAGGTAATTCCTGATATAGGAGGGAAAAAAAATTCTCATTTGGCTTTAAACAAAGCGCTCAGCCTGAACACTTTATTTATATTTGACATGTAACAGCCTTAAAAGTGAGGTGTCTACAGCTCATGGAGGAAAAACATGCCCGCTCTTAGTCTTCTCTCCAGTTCCCCCCCCCCCAAGAAAAAAAAAAGTGAGAAAACCCCCCCACAGGAATTATCCTTTATTAAAACAGGGAAATAACCAAACTGATCCCAGGTCAGCATCTAGAGTAGTCAAACCTGCCAACATCAGCAAGCTGAGGAGGAGAACATTCTAGCCTCTTGACTGTCCCTGCTCGGCACAGTGGCACTTTGCAGGGAGGACTGAGGAGGAGGAGGAAGAGGAGGGTACTGGCAAACAGTCACTCAGAAGGTTTTTCTATGAAATGCGTAGCATCTATCATCTTGGTTTTTGGACCAGCCAGGTGAGGTCGGTAGACCCCATCTCCTGACAAGGGAGGACAGTGGTGGTGGACGGGCAGCTGGACTGTTCCATCATGTCCACTCCAGGGGGGGTTGTCGAGGACCTTTGGGCTGAATGCAGCGGTTACCGAACCCTGGAAGGAGAAAATGTCTTAGCTCAGTTTGTTTAACCTCAACACCAGAGGGAAAACCTGCCTGTTCTCAAGAACCATCAAACGTTTTCTGCACATGCAGCCCAAAGCGAGCTTTCTGATCAGCAAAATCAGCGGCACAAATCAAAAAATGATGACCTTAATAGAAACCATGTTTGTCAGCAATATTTCCTGCACAGATTCACTATTTATGTTCCTTCAAAGGCTCAACTAGTAGAGACTTGAACAACAACAGTATCCAATCACAATTACAAAATAAAAGTCATCTACAACAAATGAGACAGTAGACTTACCCACCCAGCTCTGGCTTGCTGTTGTTGCTTGTTGTGGTGCCAGCAGATGGAAGGTCGGCTGGAGAGGTCGTCGCACAGTCAGACGCATCTACACATAATCAAATGCAACAAGAAACAGATTAATGGGGTGGAAGTATTCTTGAAATAACAGTGGTGTATATGCTACTCATAATTCAAGTCAATTACATTATGAAGCAGATTTTAAAATGAGTTCATTAGAGTGATATAGATCATGTGAGAAAATATAAAAATGATGTCGTGAAGACGGCAGACATGCTTCTTAACAAGACAGTACAGGATAAACATACAAGACTCTTAAAATAACTGAAAACAAAATGAATTACAGTGAAACCTTAAATGTTAAAATAGTGTAATCATTAAAAACTACCAACAGCCGTAGAAGGCGTATGTAACAAGTAGATATGATAGCTTACAGCATTTATTGCTCAAGTTAAAAATATACTAGTCAAAAAAAAGAAACTCAAGTTTTGTGTTTTAAATAGATTTTAGTTTTAATTTTTTTTTTTTTTTTAGGAGATATGGCCTCTGGACGTGATTCAAGCAGTCACTTGTCTGCTCACGGACCACACAAGTGTTTCGATTTGCTGTTGAGGAGCTGCTTTCCATTCCTGAATGAGTGCAGCCACCTGCTGCGCAAAGATCATTGATTGTGGATGCCTCTCTAACC